TTTAGGTTCTGTGGGTCATACTGTTTCTGTCATAAGTAGTCAACTCTGCTTTATGGAAGAACTCATGCTTAATATGTAAATAAATGAGCATGGCTGTGTTCCAATAAAATTTTATTCGCAAAAACAGGTATATTTAGGTTGCCGGCCTAATTTGCCAACCCTTCTTAAAATAAATTGTTTAGCATTAATAGGTCCTCAGTAGTATTAGATGATTCTAATAATGCTCAGTACTTGAATTTTAAAGGAGTGCACACTTGTAACATTATCTATATAAGACAGAAGGAAATTTGTGGACACATGCCAATGCCTCAAATATTTACACTTTGTTATTAATGACTAATTGTTAGAGTAAGTAAGTGGGGGAAGTATGTAGAGGGTTTATACAAAGTTCTTTATCTAGGTAAAGCTAGAAAAGTACACAGGTAAAGGGATTGTTGTGAATATCAACATAACTTTCCAAGTAATCTTTACTAACTCAAATTATTTAGAAAACCAAAAGGTTATCTTTCCCTAAAAGTCCAGATGAAGAAGTTTACATTTTAAAACCACCACCTCATAATTGATAACATCATGACATACATTCATTCTTGCAAACACTTTTCCAGGAGAGCGAGAACAAGAAGGAATGTTATCACACAGAAACGTTCTTGCTTCGTATTCTGTTGTGGTCGTCTTTGCCTGTGTTCTTCCTACATAATGTTCCACTGGCATATCACATAGGTTCAAAGGTGTCGTTACTAACCTAGCATCAGTAGAACATATATGTGAGGCTCCTTTGTATAGGGATGACTGCTTTGTTCTAGTCTAACCAACTGGAGTCTTCTTTTGACCTCCCTTTGAGATCTGTGTGTGTGTATGTGTGCGCGCACGTGCGCATGCGTGTGTGTTGCTGTTTCAGGATAGCTGGCTTTAATTAGAAAGGAGTACGGTTGTTTCTTACATATGGCATTCAAAACTATCATCTCATCCTAATGATCTTCTTGCACACAGGTGCACTAACCAGCTACGTAGTGACAGTGGTATGATGGGTGGCAAGGAATTAGGAGGAATACACATTCCAGCGATTTTTTCTTTACTCATCATGTGTAATTAGTGAATGAATGATCTGTTCTTTTGGATCTGAATTTTTCTAGACAAGTGAATGCATCCCCTCCACTCTACCACCCCTGCTATTCCTTTACTTTAGATTTTCATCTCATCTGGACCATTGCCATAGCCTCTGGCCTTCATCCACTCCCTCCCGATCCAGAGCAGTCTGATGCAGTCCCTTCTCTTCTGATTGAAATTCTTTAACAGTTCTCTGTGCCTGAAAATAAACTCAAAGCCCTTAGCTTGATAAGCAAGTCTGTCGTGAGCTGGATCCTGGCCCTGTATGTAGCAATGTCTTCTGCCACTTCCTCCCACAAACTCTTATGTCCTAGTCCAGATCCTGGCTGCCTGTTAGCATCCCCCTGGGAAACTTAAAAAAAAAAAAAAAAAAACCCACTGATTTAAACTCATCCTCAGACTAGTGTAATTAGAATTTCTGGGACTAGGGTACAAGCATCAATATTTTTAAAAAGATCTGCAGGTGATTTTAATACACAGCCAAGTCTGAGTTATTCTATCTAGTCATTTGACACCATTGTTGGTTCCCTGATCACATCATCTGTGCTTTTGTACATACGGTTCTTTTTGCCTGAAATGCTCAGTCCCCTTTTCTATACCTGGGAAACTCCTGATTATTTTTTAAGGTTTAGCACAACACATCCTTGGGTGGCCTTTCTGTATCCCCCAAGATACAGTTGGTGTTTCTTCCATGGAATCCCACAGCCCTGCTTTTATTGCATTCCCCATTCCACTGTGTTGCAATCCTACTTTTACATGTCTGCCTTCCCCGTCCCATTCAGTGAACTATTCAGTGTCATAGTTCAGTGTCTTGGTGTTGGTGGACTTCTGTCTACTGTGCCAGGTACAGAGTCTCACCCTTAAATGTGGATCAGAAGAGCAAGACTGAGGTGTGGTAGCCAGGACACACCTAAAAATTTATTCACTGGCTCATTGGGTCAGCCTCAAAATGATCTCTGTTTCAAAGGAAATGAGGTGAAAGAAGAACTAGTCTGAAAACTAGACTGTCAAATTGGAGAGTCCATAGAATGAGCAGCACTATGGAAACCCTTCCCTGGGACGGCAGACCAAGTAAGGGCACCACAGCCATAGTAAAGGATATGGTCAGGACTTGGGGCAAGAGAGGTGACAAAGGAGAGAGAAAACATCAGTGGTAATCAAACAGACTTCTCTCTTATTTGGGGAAAGAAAACCAATGCTCGAGTTGAACTCACTCTAAGGTAACATGCTAGTAAGACTTGGGAAATGCACCAGAAAGCAAAACATTACTTTAAGAAATGGTAGAGAATGGTGGCAAGAAGACCAGGGCATGTGGCATCAGCCCCAAGCAACAACTGAAGCTTCCAAAGAAGATGGGACTGAGTAACTTTTACTTTCTTATAGTCTTAACAATAGTAGCTTCATTTAGGGGCTTTGATAAATCTTTGCTTATAACACCAATATAAAATATAGCCAACAAATTAGCTGAAGAATTAAAAGAAAATAGGATAAAATAAAAAAAATTATAATAGCAAATGAATCCTGTCTATTTCAGAAAGTTAATTCACCCCTTATAGTTGGTTGTGGTGTTATATTCCACGGACTCATACTGAGGAATCTAATATATTATGCATATTCACAAAATATACATGAAGTGTAGTAGCTTTTTTTTTTTTTTAAGGTTTTATTTATTTATTTGAGAGAGAGAGAGCATGAGCAGGAGGAGAAGCAGAGGGGAGAGGAGAGGGAGAAAGAATCTGAAGCAGACTCTATGCTGAATGTAGAGCCCATCATGGAGCTTGATCCCAGGACCCTGAGATCATGACCTGAGTTGAAACCAAGAATCAGACCCTTAACCAACTGAGCCACCCAGGTGTCCTGAAGTGTAGTAGCTTTTGAGTAACGAACTCATTTAATAATACTTAAAAAATCTTGTTCATAATGAGCACAAATGCACAAATATCTATGCTCTTTTAAAAATATATGTACATTTTAAATAGCTGTGTCTGTATTTATCCAAAACCAAGAGTGGGTGGAGATCTCATTTTGTATACCTCTGTATCCCAGTGCAGAGCCAAATGCCTGTTTGATGAATGAATGGGTCAAACCAAGAAGGAGTAGACTTGAATGAGTTTCGAAAGCAATTGAGACTGTTGCCTCAAATAAGCCACTTCTCCCAGGTCTTCCATCATCCACCTCGACTGTGTGAGGCATAGAATAAAAAGCACATTAGCTCAAAGATACATCATCAAGGGATTGTGCATTATAAAAAGTACTCATTGATGACCCACAATAAAATTAATGGAATTGAAAAAATTCTCTTTTCAGAAGAGACATGCTGAGACTAAACAACTTTGCATAAATGAGATCAATGAGATCAATGAAAATTTGCTAGAGCAACGTTGATTCATTTGCTTTTTGTAGTTTTCAATACAACCAAAAGTTTATTTCGTAAGTTGTTTACTTGAAATTCATCACATATTGTCTAATGGAACAATGCAGTAAATGCAGATTAGGTTCCTGGTCTAGCTCATCTCTCTCTCTCTTTTTTTAACATATGAGGTTTATAGTAAAGGGTCACAACATACAGTTTGTGAATTTTACAAAATCCCCAATAACAGGATGAAGGGACAGAAATCCAGCCATGCTTTAATCAGCCAGTGGAAAGGACAGTTTTTTGGTAGTTTTTCTATAAGAAGGGTACCTTCTGGAATTTCATCTTCTTGGATTGGATTGTCTTCTATAATTCTCATAAAGACGCCTTTGGTTTGCGCTATGGGCTGCTTGTGACTGAACAATGAGTCACACAGTGAGTTGTAAGCATTATTTAGATGGGAATTTGAATTCTGAGTCTTTAAGGAAGCCAGACTAGCCTTTCTTCAGGATTCACTGTAGGAGCAAGCACTCCTGGTCCTTTCCTGTGTTTCGTGAGCACTGGGAGTAGAGCCGTCTCTGGCTCCTTCTAGAACAGGAAGATGCATGGGAGGCTGGGAACTCTTGTGAGAGCCAGAAGTTTCCTTCTATCCCAGAGGGTGGCTGAGTAGAAGCTGTGGAAGTCAGTCTCTGTGAGGGTATGGGCTTCCTGAAATGCCAGCGTCAATGTGGTGGAGTAGCTATACAGACACGGCTCTTATAGGAACTTTGTAAGTGGGGCACTACAGAAGAGTGAGTGTGTGTGTGTGTATATGCACGCACTTACATGTTAGAACTTCCCCGGGCACTTTGATAGCAGGGGGACTTCTGCACTGGCAGGCTAAATACTATGGAGGGGTACCCTGGAGGTGTCTCTAGGGGGTGGGATGGATAGAATTCCATCTATTCACCACTGTTGGGAGAGAGGGAGACTTGTAGTTTCTCATGGGCTATGGTGGGGACTCTCCGCACTGGTGGAGAGTGGAAGATGAGGTGCTTGTAGTTCATTTCATCTACATCATTTGTAAGTTTGACATTTTGAAACCAGTGAATTTCTATAGGTGAGCCATTGATTCTTACCATTATAGGCCTGAGTTTTAAAATGCTATCAGTCAATATGTTCTGTTTTCATTTTGTTCTTTTCTTTGTTCTCTGGTACTGAGAAAACAAAACCGGACAAATAAAACCTCAATTTCATGATATGAGAAAGTTCTCCAAACTTAAGAAGATCCAAGTAACATTAATTAGAACCCATTTCAATAATTAAAAAAAATTTTTTTTTTGGGAAACAAGACACTTAGAGCTCACTTGGATGTGTGATCTAGTAACTGTATTAATCAGTTGAATAATCCACATTAATCAGTCCTGCCTCGACGTGAAATTATTAATCAGCTTGATGATCTAAGCAATCGTCTGAGGAAATGCGTTTGTCTTAGAATTTAAAAAGTGATAATGGGAAAGTTAAAAAAGAGAGAGAGAACAAGCAAAAGAATTACATTCTTGTTAGTTTTATTTCATTTATTTCAATACCAGCTCTTCTACTGATGTAGAATGACTCTGAACAAATAATTACAAATAATTACTCCTCTTAATGGTGTCATCTTCTCTCCATATAGAGGGAAAGCTGTGTGTAAGTTTGTCAGGGGCATGGAAGACCTGCCTCAGGTTGTTTCCTTTGCCCCTACCCCCAAGGGGATAAAAGTTGGTATCCCCTAGAGACTAGTGAAGCCTAAAAGCTGAGGCTGTACGGGACACTAAATAGGCTTACACTGAGGCAAGCTATTGTTACATTTGGCTATTTCAGCCAAATGAGAGAAGAGTAAGAACAAATCCAAAGTAGTCATTGGCCACTGTGAGGCTAAAAATGAAAAAAAAAAAAAAAAAGGTGGTTAGTTTGATAGAAATGTTCAGGTTCCCACTGATAATGTGGAAACTTAAGCATAGGGGCAAACTGGAGTTATCCCATCATGATGAAGCATTCCTAAATCTATGTGTAATCTCCCAGTAGTCAACAAAACTCTGTTGGGGAACAAAAAAAAAGATGGCAGTCAGCGAATGTTACCAAAGAAATATTTTCAGAAATTCTCTTATACCAAGTGATGATTAGAGCAACAATTTGTTTGGGGCCCTTTTGTTGAAGAAAATAGAACCTACCGAAAGCATAGTGTAAAATGATGGTGTAGAGTATTTATAGTCCCAGTAGATTATGTCCCCTTTTACTTGGGGCTGGGGGGAGGTCCTTCTACCTGTCATAGGTTGGGGCTGGATGGCTTTGTACCAGTTCTTCAGTTTGTCCCCTCCCACTGTCACCATTTAGATATGTTGTTTGTATTCATAGAATAGAGCAAGCATTAACCACTACATAGGGTCAAGCCTGTAGCTAGACAATGAGAAAAACCAAGCAAAACAAAACTTGTTTGTGAAGTAGGTCTTACTCTTCCAATCTTAGCACCCATACTGCAAACTTTAAATCTTAGGCATCTAAATCATTGATTTCTCCACAGTGAGACAGAAATTTGTGGATTAAACTTATTTTGCAAGACAAAACTAAAGAGCATATTCACAGATAAAGCAAAGAAGAACATCAAACAAAAAAGGATGTAGCACCTTATACTCGCTATGAAGGTTGGGTTGTAATTTTGGAGTCAACAACAAAATCTCTGCATCTTTGATTACTTCTCTCAAAAGGCTGAACATTTTTAGGATACAATTTTCAGTTCATCCTAAAATTTTCTCTTGTGTGGCTTGGCAGATGTGAAAATTCGAGAACCTCAGGAAAATCATGTCGAAAGAACCTGCTTATGAGAGATCACAGGGGTGTGGATTTGGTTGACGACACAGCCTGTTGAATCCTTACAGAGAATTGTTTGTCTTCCGTTTTTAGATGGCTTTAATTCCTCCAAATTGCTCCTTGAATAATAGGAGAAAGGCAATTTGAATTTCAGTGACAGATTGGACATAACAGGTTGCAACTATTAGGTCTAATTTTACCATACTGAGAAATAAAATTGCCTAAACATAAACATCGATCACTGATGCAGTAAATTAATTTGTACAGAAAAAGTAGTTTAACTGCAGTGCACATTAAACATAGAAAATTTTCAAAATTACTGCTCTCTGAATTAATTTGTACACTTGTTTACTTGTTAAAAGCACACATAAATTCTTTTTTTTTTTTCCTAAGGCAGTGCAGCTTCAAATTGAGTAAGAAAGAAGTGTAAAAATTAGCAAGGAAATGCAGAGACATGGAAGGTACACCAGCTGAACTGAACACTTGAAAATAGTATTTTTTCCCTGTTTTTCATTCTTTTTGTTTTTCAATGCTATTCAGAACATGCTTCATTTTTGAATCTGTCCATCAGATCACTAGAGATGTTGTGCATTCCCCCTCATTATAACAAGATAAATGTGATGTTTTAATAGTCTTGACTTACGTTTGCTAAGAATTGGAGATGTGGAGCAATTCTAAGGGTTTTATGGTTTGGTTCCTTGGTGAGTTTACATTCAGTGGTGTCCTAGGGCTTGGAGCTGTTAACATTGCATTCCTGAACAATCTGACCCATGAATTTCTTTGTATTTAACCCGTAAGAAAATCGGTGAACATGTTTTCATTTTACCTGTAATTCTATTATGAGGAATGCATGGCAAAGTTTGGATAGTATCTTTTCAGTTTGTTCCAGCTGCCGCGGACCTGGAGCTGGCAATGTGGTGCGGTTTGATACCATCTCCTGCCTACAGTTTTCAAGGACAGTGGTTCGATTCAAATACAATTCTGATAAGTGGCAGGTTTTTGTGTCTTTAATGCCTTGACAAGGGCATCACTCTCAGGAGAGGGAGGTGAAACCGTTTGGACGAGGATTCCGTCCCTGCTCCTTTGTGCTGACACACTAAGATAATGGACAATTAAGAGAACCTTCACTGCAGGTGAAAGGATGGGGTTATCACTAATATAAAGGAGCCCATGGGGTGTTGGGGTACGAAGGAGAAGAGGAATGGGAATTTTTAAAAGGAATATAAAACACACAGATGAGACGCCTAATAACTGTTCACATATTGCTCTTTCACATGTGATAATGGTGAGTGATTGCAGTATTCACTATTGCTTGCTGTAACTTTTTAAAAAATATCTGGTTCATTGCATTTGACACAAAGTACTGCAGAAAATCTGTCCCTATGCTACCTTGCCTGTCACGGAGTAGGTGAGCCCTAATAATAAAGGGGTTTGTTTTTGTGGAGTCTGGCTTTTGGACCACCTTTCGTGGGGTTTTGCAGATCGACTTGTGATAATCTAGGGCTGTGGTCATCAGCCTTGACTGCGCTCCCCGGGGCCCCAACCCTCAGAGAGACTGATTTACTTGATCTGGGGAGAGACCCGTATTTTTCAAAGCTCCCTTGGACAATTCCAGTGTGGAGCCAGGATGCAGGCTGTTGTTATAGTTTCTAAGCCCCTCAATGCTGGGGCTCCCCCATAGACTGTCTGATTCTTTAATAGATTTGAATAAGGTATGTGTTGCTATTAGAGAAGATGTATTCTGCATGTTATTAATAGCCATCTAGTGTTTATGCTGACTTCGCGGTTTAGGATTCAGGTGCATCTGGAGAGAAGTTTCTAATCTTCTCTACTGTTCCCCACTTGCTCCCCACCGTGTTTTTGTTTCTGCTTTTTTTTTTTTCCTGTTATGTATTAAAGCTTCCTCCTTCTGTGATATTGTGCATAAATGACCTATAGTGTGGGGATAGTCACCCCAACATGAGGGCTCCTGTAAAGGCATGTTTGTAAGCCACATTATTTAGGATCATAAGGCAATAGGGTAGCAGCAACTTTGTACCTAGACTTCTTAATCTATAGGGGTAGATGTACTGTGTGCACGTGAATCACAGGGGAAAACTTCTCATACCATTTAGCCCTAATAAAAGTGCGACAGTCCTGAGTGTGGAAGAGGTTAACTGATTTTCTTTTGACTTAAACTTTCATTTGTCTCCAAGAGCCCCGAATGACAATAGAGTGCACCGCTTCTGATAAGTATGGGTTCTCCTCAGCCTGAAGAGATGTGTGTGATAAGATAACATGGCTTGAAAAAAAAAAAAGAGAGCGAGAGCTTGAAGGAAAGGGATAGGAGGAGAGGGAGAAAGAAAGTATGTTAACTGCTTTGACTGCAAAATACCCGCTGGTAGCCAGAGATAAGACACCTTGAGCTACTCCGAAGACCTTAAACAGGATGTAAATGAAGCCAATAAAAATCATTTGAGAGCAAGCCACTTTTCTACTCCCCTCCTATTTCCAGCCCTGACAGCAGAAGGCTTAATTTACTGTATGGCATACCACACTTTCGTGTAGAACCCAGGAAGTTGTGGGAGACTGAGAGGAGCCAGTTCAAAAAACAAGATATCTACAGTTTCTAGAGAAGTTCAAATTTAAGGCATTTAATCAGCAGTTCTAGCAATGCCTTCCTGAGTGGAAAAGAAAGTATTGCTGATTATCGGAAGCTCCTTTCCCCTTTCCCCTCTTCCTGCTTCACATATTCGTTTGCTTTGTATTTAGTTATGACAATCTTCTGCGGGTGAAGTGGTTCACGGGGTGAGCTGCATTTTATTGCCTGTTGATATATCTCATCAAGCTAATGCAGCTTGAAAAGAATTATCAACAAAAGTTTAAGACATAGACTTTGCCAGGTGCACATTTGAAACAAGCTGTTTACTCACAACTCTGTATCAGAATTATTGTAACACCCAGCTTTTATGTACTTGGAACTTCATAACTTCAAAACGGTTACTGTTTTTTTTCTAGAAATACACAAGCTGTTGCCAACAACACTTCTACAGAGAGGAAGTAACTTATGGGAGCTAATTGGACATCACACTGAAAAGATTTGAAGCTGGGAGTCCTGCCGAAAGTGGGAGGGGCAACTGTTAAGGGATGCGAAGGCAACGGAGATAATAATGTTTTCTTTTTGTTAAAGCTGCTGCTTGGAAGAGCTGGAATTCCATGTGGTCTTTGACTAAGGGAGAGAAAGCCCACCATCAGCATTGTTCTTGTGCGGAGCAGCAAATATGGAAAAGGCATGGCTGAGTGTGGCAAACTTTTAAGCAGAGGACTTAAATGATTTAGGGGAAATAAAAGATTCTACAGTGGTTTTCAGACATGGGAGTGCAAGGGAAGCACCCTGAAGCTTGCTAAAAATGGGGATTTCTGGGCCCCATCCCCAGGAGTTCAGGGTTGGTAGGCACTGGGGTGGAGGGGGTAGAACCTAGGAGTCTGCATTTTCAGCAGACAGTTTGGGTGACTGGGGAGCAGGGGATGATGGGTGATACTAAGAAACACTGCCCTGGGTCATCTGGTTGAAGCAGAGGATCAGCCTTGTGCAGAGTGATGGGACCTGCAATAAAAACTGTGGAAGGACAGGTTAGGGGAAGGTGATCAGGAGCCTTTGTTGTATCCCTCTTTGGGATGAATGGTAGGGAATGTGTCTCAAGGAACAGAGCATGAGGAGGGGTAAGCTGACCACAGCTCTAGTTTGATGGAAATGTTTCTTCTGCTCTTACTTGCCAATACCTGATCTGACTGAGCCACACACACACCCCACCCCCCACCCCCGCTCAGAGGAGGGGATAAAAAGAAGAGACAAGGAGGGAGACCCACTGTTAAGGAAAACAGGAGGAGTGTGTGTGTGTGTGTGTGTGTGTGTAAGGTTTTCTAGCCAGTAGCCAGAAGTGAAATTAAATTAGGAAATAGGCTGCCATGACCTGTCAACAGAAGGTCATGGATTCATAGCAGTGTTAGGTGGTTTTGTTTTCTTCTGTATATATGTATACAAATGTGTCAATTACTATGAATTAGTTTTGTAATGGAAAAAACAATGAAGTCTTTAATAAAAGAAAATGAGCAATTTTAAGTTTATTCATTTACCTGTTAAAAACTAGATGACTTGGTGGCATTGGAGGCTGTTGTTCTAGCAGGGAGGGTTAGGGAAGGGTACACTTGGAGAACTGTCTCACTCACAGACCAAGCTACTTGCCTTGGCATGGGGCTTATGTTCAGGTTTTAGTTCTCCTACCACCTGCTATCGTTAGTGCGAGATTATAACATGTTCCTCACCCTCATTGACCTGTATGCTCATTGGTAAAATTCATACTTTTTTTTTTCCTGAAGGTTAAGACTTCGCACAGATCTTCAATCCTATACTTCATATATATGAAAAGTTAGGAATGACAGCCCTTACTTTCTTTACTCTGTGTAGGCTTCAATCAAATTCACTTATTTTCTTTCCTTTGATCCCTCATCGGTTCATCTTTAGAGAAAAGAGCAGAGCTCAGATGTGGGAGGAGTCTTGCTAAAGATTCAGAAACCAGCCTTTTCTAACAGACAGCATTGAGTCAGTCAGCATCCCAGAACTGTGCTAGTAGGTTTTAAAGTCTCTGAGTATTCGAAACATGCTTTTGCAAGGGTCATACCAATAAGCCTTGGACACATACAGATGTGTGTTGCTCTCCGTATTGCCCTCTTCAAAGGCAAAAACAGTGTCATAAATTTCTCCATGAAAATTATGATTCAGAATTAGTGCATTTCACAAGAGGACTAAGCAGGTACATATCAAATTCCTTATTACCTCACTCAAATTTCTTAATTTACTCTTGTTTAAATCATATTAGCACATTAAGTTTTCAGTGGAATTTTATACACTGCTTGTGTCCTAAATGTTGGGTGCCGGAGGGATAGATGTCTACATGTCATTGTGAAACAGGTGCATATGGGGGTCTCCCATTGGTCCCCCTGACTCCAGCCAGCTTTATTACTTGTCTTGTTACTATGGCCACACTGCCTTGGATTGTTATACATTGTTTTGCTGTGTTAAAATTACCATGGACGTAGACAAAATGAAGTAGTATTATAAGGAATTATCATGGGGTTTTTGAGGCATGACTTGGTCACTGGTTTTGGAGTATTTGGCAAGACACTTCATCTCAGTTTATATATATATATATAATGCAAATATATAATCAAACATATAAAATATAGAATTTAATAAAAATATTATAATTATATATAATATATGTTAATCATAAAAAAGCAGCATAAAGCTGTCCCTTAGTGAAGTGTTTTCAGTAAGACATGATTTTGCATTGACTCATGTTAAATGGCAAATTATTATGATTAACACTTTTGTAATGATAAATAGCAAAAATATTTCAAAAATTACTTTAGCAAAAATCATTAGTCTATTCTGAACATTTTAGTCAACTCTGCATAAACACACACACACACACACACACAATAGCACAGTTTTGATTGAGTTTTGCGCCCATAAATAACTTATCAGGACTGTTAACAAGAAAAAAATCTGATAGGATGAAGTGGTTTCTATTTTATTTTTATACTTATTCTCAGGTAGAGTTTCTAGGGAAGAGTAAACTGAACCAAAAGTGAGAAATAGAAAATAAAGGGAGAATAAGGTACCTGGAAAATCCATCACATTGATGATCAGTCTTATTTTCAGGTTTGCCTCTTGCAAATTTTGCCTAATTACGTAAATGGAGAAAAAAAACTATGTCACTAAGGGCATTTGATACCATATGATCTGTGTAGAAATATTTTATCATACCCTAGTTAGAGTTATTTTAAGAAAATAGTTTTGTCCTATACAATTTACCAAACATCTCACTTGAAATAAAGGACTCCTTATATCATATGGGTTACTTGGGATCTGACCTCATTTTTCAATTTTAGTTTTACTACTTAAGTGTTAATGTAAAAGTTAATGATTCTGTTAAACACCATAAAACTCTATCCTGTGAGGGCAGATTGGTGATTTTCTCCTCCTGTAGATCTCTTCCTATGCACAAAGTCTCAAGACAGTCCAGCATCACCCAATCTGTTAATATCAATGCCATATGTAACTTCCCCATGAAATGCATCAGCACTGACCAAGGGGTAGACCACACAAACTACTTGGAGTTGCAGGTGCCGGCTGGTGGGCTAGGTGCACTCACTAGCTATCTGAGAGCACTGGGTTTTATACCCCAGCCTGAAAATGTGGCATGAGTCAAGGTCTGTGCCTTGAAATAAAAAAATGATAACTTGTCCCAGACCTGAGGGGTCCTTATCATATTTTAGACACATGAACATCACAATCAAGAACGCTGAGGTCCATTATATTATAATATGTCAAATAGACATGGATAACAGATAATTGTAGCAATATTTTCCCCTAAACTTTATAACAGTTTTTTCTATATTAGCACACCATATTTATCACTTTACTGTACAATGAACCCACAGGGGGTGCTAATTGGTCATTAATTAAATTTTAGCCTTTCAACACTTTTGTATTCTCCAGTGGCTTTATCTGCAATGAAGTATATAGTGTGGCCTTTTTAAAGTGCTGGAAATTCATGTCAGCTTTACTGTGCTGTGGATATAAACGGGTGAAATTCGGCCTGAGTGAACATCATTTCAGGACGGTTATAATTCCTTGTGACCCAAAGCTTACTAACCTTGGACCAAAGCCTACACATTGGAAAAATATTCAGTAAAGTAGATTATTTTAATATGACCAAACATTCTGATAGACTAGATTCCTCTTGAAAAGAGAATCTGATTGCTTTGTTTGAAAATTCTAGTGGGTTATGGCAGTTCTTCAAAAAACCACTAACACAGTGGAGTGAACTTTCTGAGATCCATCATTCAGTAATAAAAATATTTTCAAACTTAGTTTTCTTAGGGGAAGAATCCCTTTTGCCTTATACTCCCCCAGTGAAGTGGTTAATATAAAACTATTAATGATTAGCGTGGTAGCACTGAGAAATTTGCTGAGAATTCCAGAAGGTGTGGATTTTTAAAAAATGTTTAATAGGTATATTTCACACTAGTGCAAAGGATATTGAAGCAAAATAGAGTTTGCCTCAAGAAATTTCTAAACAAGTAAAATAATGTGAGATACAGGGCCAGTGTCAGAACCATGTAATGTGTCTTCAAGATTTTGAATGCAGGCCATCCCATTAGGGGATTTTACTTTGGTGATGAGTTAATCACAACCTCCCAGTGTGTCCAGCTATTAAGGAATAGCTACTGCACATTGACTTTCACGATAACTATAATAGCATTCGGAAGAGTTTTTTGGTATTTTTATTTTCTGTTTTTAAACAAAGTACCCCTTTTGTTTAAAGAATTTACCCTTAAGAGTATTAGAATTTCAGGGGCATCTGGGTGGCTCAGTTGGTTGAGCATCTGGCTTTGGTTTTGGTTCAGGTCATTGTCAGGGTCCTGGGATCAAGCCCCCCGTTGGGCTCCATGTTCAGTGGGAAGTCTGCCTGGGATTCTCTCTCCCTCTCCCTCTGCCCTCCCCCTCTGCCCTCCCCGTGTTCGCTCGCTCTCTCTCTCTCAAATAAATAAATAAATCTTAAAAAGATGAAAGTATTAGAATTTCAATATGAAAAAAGCTTCAGCTAAATTATAGTTAGTTTTCCTTTGTACTGTTTCCACATTTACCAGTTATAACCTAAAGGTAACTTTGACTTTCATAGTAGTAGTAGAAATTTAGTACATTTTTATATTGTAAACATTCAGAAAACTCCTTTATACAATGTCATGTTTGATACTTATAATATTTACTGTGAGGCAGGTTGGCATTTTTCTGGTGTTGTATAGATAAGGAGGCCAAACCTTAAAAAAAAAAAGGAATTTCTAGAGTGCGTAAGCTAATATCAGACCTAAACACATAGTAGGTGCTTAATAAATGCTGGTTAAATAAATGAATGAACAAAATAAGCAATGAAGAACTGCTTCAAATTCTTTGTGGTGTGAGGTCAGATATAAATACAAGACGAGAAAGTAACTACAACATGCCTTCTAACCCAAAATAGTCGAGATGAAAAGAAAGCAGACTTGGGAAATTCACCGTGATGGTGTCTGTCATTATTCAAGGAAAGAGAAACATGTTAAATAACGTAGAATGCTCTCCATCACTGAACCGTACACAGATGTGTAATACACAGTTGCCAATTACTGAATGCCAAGAGGTTGATGCTTCTCATTAGTTATATATGTTTTTAAGTGAGCCAAAAGATAGAAAAAGTCAAGCAGTTCTCACCCCCCACATAAATGGAAACCACTTTTCCTTCCGTCTGGCTTCAGAAACACGTCTCGATTTCCTTGAGGGAGATGATGACTGTTCTTTAACTGGTTGCGCGTCAGCTTTTTCCTCTGATTTGAGAGGTGGAGTTAAGTGTGAACTGCTTAAGAATGCACTGTTTTCTGTTTAATTTGGCTGCGGAAGATGGAATTCATTGAGCTCCGTCTGTTCAAGTGAACTTTAAGCAACAATAAGCAAAACATTTGTACTTCTCTCTGCACACGAAATAGAAATGTGTCTGGCGAAAGAGACAGTATGGATATAAAGACCCATGGAGGGCAATGGAGGGGTGATAACAACTTCTTATCTCTAATGTTGGCGCATCCAAAGCATTAAGGGATTGTTGGGAAGAGTGAGCCTCTTTTTTTTGTTGTTGTTGAAAGTGAGCTCTGATATCTGGAATTCATCTTAATACTGTGTTAAAAAATGTACACCACCAACTCTTGCTCCCCACAGCTGCTATCATTAATGGGTGACCACTCTTTTCCCTCATAACTTAACTGTTAATGCATTTAATTGGTCCTTCTAGAACAATTTGGAATATTACAGAATTTAAAAGCATCTGTGAATTATAAATAATTTTAAAGTTTACATTTCTCTTTTGAACACCCAGTAAAGAGTATACATTTTCAAGTAGTTAAGTAAGTTTTATGACAAAGACGTGAATTTCATGTGGGGCTGTTGATTTTTACAAAAAGTATGAAAGTTATATCATTAAAATTGCAGCTTTTCTAAAACTGTTGACATTTCTATTGAGAATGAAAGGAAGCAATTGTGTAATAATGCATAATAGTTTATTTAGAATGACCGTATCCTTTAGCCATCGAAAACCATTGCTTTAAAAATGTGTTGTGTAATTTGGTTAGATGGTGGGGCGCCTGGGTGGCTCAGTTGGTTAAGCGACTGCCTTCGGCTCAGGTCATGATCCTGGAGTCCCTGGATCGAGTCCTGCATCGGGCTCCCTGCTCGGCGGGGAGTCTGCTTCTCCCTCTGACCCTCCTCCCTCTCATGCTGTCTCTCATTCTCTCTGTCTCAAATAAATAAATAAAATCTTTAAAAAAAAAAATTTGGTTAGATGGTTTTACAAACGGTGATGTAAAATTGTTACTGTGATAGCACCAGGTTAATACGAGACCTATCTCTGTCAAACACACGTGACAAGACACTCTTCTCTTTGGTACCTAACTTCTCTTAGTCTTTATGCACAACTATATATTCTCCTCGGGATTCTCCGTTTCTCTTAAGGTGGCTCAGGTAATTAATGAATGAAAAAAGGACTCTGAACTCTTTTTAATATGAAAGTTCAGAACTGCTCCTATAGGGCCGTGCTGAGAGAAATAACCATTTTAAGCTGATGGAGGAAATAACCTGGAAATTTACTTGGGTCTTGTGTTTTAACCTATTGTTCTACACTTAAAAGATCATCTTCTAAATGAACTTATTTTGAAGTTAAGCAATGCAATGACCGTATTGCTAGTGTTAAGAGAGGTACTTTGAAAATTACATACTTGGCTTCAGAATTAACATAGCAAAATACTTGCTCCAAGGTTATCTGTCTGTAAAGACCCAAGATTATATCTTATGTATGATAATTTAATACTTGGAACAAAGTCAGCATGGATTTATGGTCCATTAATTTTTAGATATCACCAACTATTTATGTTTTATTTTCTTGATGGCTGAATGTACAACGCTTAAGGCACTGTAGATTTCCATTGGGCCAATCCTTAAAGCTAATCTTCCAGTGGTTTCATTAAAGGAAAGAAAATGTTAAAATATGTTTATACTATATGCAGAGAACCTTACATGTGGAAACATAAATGCATGCCACACATGTAAATCTTTTTGTTTACTTATGCAGCTTTCCTTCCAGGGATGATAGGTGCCCCAGAAACATTCACTAATCTCTGGAACCCCCCAGAGGGTAAGGAACAAGAATTATTATCTTCATATTGCAGGTGAAGTACCTAGGTAGGGCCAGATTAAATGACTTGGCGAGGTCTCTCTCTAAGTCAGTTATGAAGCTAGAAATAAAACTCCAGACTCTTGACTTTTCGTTCTCATTCTGAGTCATTGCGCTCCTGAAAACAGAGGAACCAGACCTGTCAGTTTTGTGCTTTTCTTCACTTGAAAAGTAACCATTGGTGTAAATCCTGTCCCTGTTAAGGAACCTTGCTGTGTGGCATTTGCACACACATGATACTGAGTCCCCGAAGGGCAATTTAGAGAGTACTCTGCCGTTACAGTGAATGAGCTCAGGTAGCAAAAGGTATCAGTAAGCCAGCTTCTTGAGGGCCCAGCCCTGTGAAGAAGGAAAAATGTCAGAAGTTTCCATAACTTCGGGGCTTTGGATAATTTCTTATTTTACTTTCTTCTTAATAATTTCAGATGGCCCATATTGTTACAGAGTCAAATTCTTTTTTTTTTTTTAAAGATTTTATTTATTTATTTGACAGAGTGAGAGACAGCGAGAGCGGGAACACAAGCAGGGGGAGTGGGAGAGGGAGAAGCAATGTGGGGCTCGATCCCAGGACCTTGGGATCATGACCTGAGCCGAAGCAGACGCTTAACGACTGAGCCACCCAGGCGTCCCCAGAGTCAAATTCTGAAAGGCGTGCTGCCTGCCCTCAACAGACACGTATCCTAACGCTAAGACGCGCTTAATGGTACAAAATAAGCCTTGGTATCACCTCAAACCTTTCTGCATATCCTCTCTTCCTACTTCTTTGATATTATTATTATTATTATTATTATTATTATTATTATTATTATTTTATTGGCTGCTTCAGTTAGACTCGAAAGCCAGAGTGGCCAGGACCCTCAGCTTTTCTCTGCTGGCAGGTCGGGTCCCTGATTGGCAACTGATGGGCCCTTCTGGGGGTTGTTCATCCATTCGTCCCCAGTAGCCAGGATATAATCACATCCACATCCAGTCTCTGCTCTCCTCCTCAGCTTGGTGCATCAGGGGCCAATGGCTTTAAATCACAGAGGTACTTTGTGCTCCAGTGCCTTTTTTTTTCCTGTGGACTACCTTCTAGCGTGACTTCACTTCTCCGTTAGTGAGCACTTTCCCCCATAAATATGACCGAACAGGTGTTGCTCTGCCGCTGAGTTTCCAGCTGTCGTCCTCCGACACAGACCCGGCCAAATCTGTTGTTTCGTCCTTTTCGGCAGACTGGAGAACCATCAAGCCTGAGATGGAGGTCTTCCTTGCAGGATATGGCAGTTTTGTTGCCAGAAGATGGTCGGGAAAGCCTGGCTGGCTAACAAAGACAGGCCTTCAGCGGCTGGGTGTAGTTCCAGTCCTGCATCCCCTTTGGCAGGAGCACAGAGGCTGCTGCAGGATGGCCAGCCAGCAAAATTAGGAAATAAGGACCTCTTTTATTTACTCAGGCTGCTGAATCATGGGCATTCCTGTCTGCTTGGAGAAAAGTCAGGCGGCTCTACTTTCCACTGAAAGTCTCAGGAGTGTTGGAGACTTTCATCTTGGAGTGTTCACACACTTGTTTTAATGTGCTTTATGGAAATGGTGAAACTCAGCAAGTACAGTTGCTGTAGAAAAACATCTGCACTAACTATGCACACACATTTGCATCTTTAAATAGACTTGGAGGCCACGGAGCTGGTTTCCAGCAAAGTTTCTTTCTCCCCGCCCCCCTCCCCCGGCTGTAAGAGCTACAGTTCTCTGAGAGTCACCTAGTGTGAAGTGATTCCAAAAATTAAAATGTAACATGGACATGTTAAGTACTTCACATCGAAATGCAGAAAACCTGCCATTACATAGAAAGACATTCCTGTAAGTAGCACTTAGTCAGTGCCGAGGGGAAAAAGAGAGTTCGAGTTGATTCAGAAACCAGCTCTGGAAGAATCCTCCATAGTTTCTTCCATGTGAAGAAAAAGAACTTGAAAGTGTTCAAATCTATATTAGCCATCTAAACATAGTCTGCGTGGTGACTGCCAGAAAGCTGAAGTTCATGGGGACGGGCAGCTTTCGAAGACTTAGGTAGACCTCAGAGAATATTGGCCACACCACCATCACCACCACAAAAGTCTTGGGAGACTGATACCCTTGGAGCTGGGACCAACCCCACTGGGAGTTTTGTCACTGAGTGCTTTGTGTGTCCCTGGAAGCACACATCCGCTTATAGTACTAGCAAATGAGTTTTTTTTACCATTTAGATTTTAAAATAGAAATCAGCCTTTCATGAAACCTTTATTTATTTTTCTAAAAGTAGCATTCCCTGCTCAAACTTTTTACTCTGCTCCGTCTATTCCATCCCCCAGCCTAAGCCTTCTGAATCCTGTACTCTGTTTTCATGTATTTCAGTTACAAAGACACATCATCTGTGATTTTCACTTTCTTTTCCCCCAAGACCAAATAATAGGGGTCGGAGAGACAGAAGAGAAGGTTTCCAGCTCCCTTGAATCCTGGTTGAGTAAAAACTTGATCCTAACCCTCAGCTCACTTGACATGTTGAAATTTACAAGCTTAAGAGAACAGTTATGTAATAGGTAGAGTCAGGCATGGCCCACAGACAAGAACCTGATTTAAGAGTGGTATCAGGGATTGCACACTATTTATAGTGGTCGATTGCTCTGTAATTCTTTGTACATTTGTATAATAGTATATCATGCCTGGACACAATCTGCAATTTAAGAGTAAGTTCATTTGCTAAATTTTTAGGGTCAGTAGTTATTTTCTTCGAGTCTAGATTCATGACAAATTCTGATTCACTGTTTTCCCAACTATACCAAGGAGATGATGTGTTTGAAAATATTTTTCAGTGCAACAACAGGATATAAGCCTAAAAGATAAATGTGAAATATAGATTTTTACCTAGAAAGCTGAGCAAATTTAATAAATAACAATTGCTTTCACTTAAGAGAAATATTTTAAAACTTTGGTGTGTCTTTAGGTGCCTTACAGTTTTTTAAAAGGAAAGCTAGAATCACCATTGAGGTTTTTGTTTTGTTTTGTTTTAAAATTTTAAAAATCATTTTTCTATCTGTCTGATGGTGAGTTGAGCTTATCTATGTTTTTTCTACGCATTCACCTTTAAATTTAAATCAGACCCACAATTATCGACCCTTTCTTACGCTGGAAACATGTTGGGTTACAGACTCATATAAATGAGGATGCAAAATCATGCGATTTTCAACTTGTATTGCGAAGCTTTGTTGCCGTGGGCAGAGATCCAGGAATGGTGTTTGCTTGTTTTCTCAGAGTTAGATGGTTGCCATCTGGCATTGATAGTGAGATGGTGTTGTCATCAGTTTCTAGATGCAGGAAAGGAATGATCCTCATCTGTTTCCTGTGGATAAGCAAGAGGTTGATAATCTAGTAAAATCTTGTTACCTTAAAGAAAGCAGACGTGGAATTTGTTTACATACTGCTTGCCAGTTTCTACTTTTATGTTAATAATTTAGCTTGCTAGTGAACTTGAGCTTTGAAGAATGTAAAAACTTATTTGATCACATTCTAATTGGATTTTATTAGAATATCCTAATAATATTCTAATTGAACCTATTATCCTACTAGGATCACTATGCCCACCAGTTCCACTCGATAGTCTTTACTCGGCTGCATTTCTGAAAAATCTTGCTCTTTTGCAGAGTGAAAAGCTTTTACAGTTTCTTCTCGTCTTGAATGATAGATTGTTTTGAAAAGCAAAAAAGAGGTTTTACAACCTACTTGAGAAGGTCTTATTTTCCACTTGGATGTTAAGAAAGCAACAGAAATAGGAGTGCACGTTTGCCAAGAACATAGTTAAAAAACACCTAATATAAGGTAGAGTTGCTTTATGGATAACTTGCTAAGGTTATATCTGGCTTTCAGTCTTGTTTGTCTTCTCTTTGTTACTCATAAATCTTTCAGCATTTACCATAATCATTTATCACTTTTCCTGTTTCCAGTTTTTCACAAGTCGCTTTGTCTCTGCTCACCTCAAAGTGCAGGTCCTGTTTGGCTAAGGAAGTTCATGCTGCTGAAGCTTTTGCAAAAGGAAGAAATGGTGGGCCACCTCTTGAACTTTCCAAACAAAATACACTATTACAATCTGGCCCTTGTGAAACTCTCATTTTTTCTTGATCCTGGCTGATCCTAGCTACATGTAATATCTAGCGGTACCCTACTAACATTTAATAATCCATTTTCTGGCCTATGGTATTCGAATCTTTCAGTTATTGAAGAAATCCTGGTTGTCTTTCATTACACAAGACGTAATTATTATTGTGTTTTCTGTCTTCCTCCATGTGCTTACTTTTTAATATTTTTTTGCTGAAAGCAATAAGGTCTGTATCAATAAGAACCCCATAAAAGATTTTGGTCTTCAGAATTGCCTTTTTATAGAAAAACAAGCAAAATGCAGAGGGAATTTTTTATTAAATATTAGACATCTGGGTTGACTGCATTAATTTTAAATCATTCCTGTAATATTTCCTCTTTTCATTTGGTTCTTCAGATGCTCACATAATATGCAAATCATTTTAGGATGAATACAGAAGAAACATTAAATATATTAAAATCTGCATTTTAATAAAATTGTCGATGTGTAATATATACCTTGCTTCTAAGGAAAAATGATAAAAAGTAATAAGAGGGGTAATTGAGACATAGAACTATTTAATATCTTTTTATATTTTACAACCCAGTAAAAAGTAAATGTAGAATAAAAGCTTTGGGCTCAGATTTGAAAGTGTTCCACTCAAATATTTTGGCTTCCAGTTCCCCTCCCCGCCCTGCGAAAGGTTCTAGACGGTCCAACTGTTAATGGACTTTTTGAAATGGTATGGTAAACTCGTTCTCGAGTTCTCAGCACGTAAGATGAATTGTTCCCTTGCTTCTCATTGCAGATGGAGTGGATGTTGAAGATGATCCCACCTGCTCTTGGCCGGCTTCCTCACCTTCTAGCAAGGACCAGACTTCCCCTAGCCATGGAGAAGGATGCGATTTTGGCGAGGAAGAAGGTGGCCCTGGACTCCCATACCCATGCCAATTCTGTGACAAGTCCTTTAGCCGCCTCAGCTACCTAAAGCACCATGAGCAGAGTCACAGTGACAAACTGCCTTTCAAATGCACCTATTGCAGTAGGCTGTTCAAACACAAGCGGAGCCGAGACCGCCATATCAAACTCCACACAGGGGACAAGAAGTACCACTGCAGTGAATGTGACGCCGCATTCTCCAGAAGTGATCACTTGAAGATCCACTTAAAGACTCACACGTCCAACAAGCCATATAAATGTGCCATTTGTCGCCGTGGGTTCCTGTCCTCTAGTTCCTTGCACGGACACATGCAGGTCCACGAGAGAAACAAGGATGGGTCCCAGTCTGGCTCCAGGATGGAGGACTGGAAGATGAAGGACACTCAGAAGTGCAGTCAGTGTGAGGAAGGCTTTGACTTCCCGGAAGACCTCCAGAAGCACATCGCGGAGTGCCACCCCGAGTGCTCCCCAAACGAGGACAGAGCGGCCCTCCAGTGTATCTACTGCCACGAGCTCTTTGTGGAGGAGACGTCCCTCATGAACCACATGGAGCAGGTGCATGGCGGGGAGAAGAAGAACTCTTGCAGCATCTGCTCGGAGAGCTTCCACACCGTCGAGGAACTGTACAGCCATGTGGACAGCCACCAGCAAGCCGAGTCGTGCAACCACAGCAACAGCCCCTCTCTGGTCACAGTGGGCTACACGTCCGTGTCCAGCACGACTCCGGATTCCAACCTCTCCGTGGACAGCTCGACCATGGTGGAAGCTGCCCCCCCAATCCCAAAGAGCCGGGGCAGGAAGCGGGCTGCTCAGCAAACCCCTGACCTGACCGTCCCCTCGAGTAAACAGGCCAAAGTGACCTACAGCTGTATTTACTGCAACAAGCAGTTGTTCTCGAGTCTGGCGGTTCTGCAGATTCACCTGAAAACGATGCATTTGGACAAGCCAGAACAGGCCCACATTTGTCAGTATTGCTTGGAGGTATTGCCCTCACTCTATAACCTGAATGAACATCTGAAGCAAGTGCATGAAGCTCAGGATCCAGGTCTGATTGTTTCTGCCATGCCTGCCATAGTCTACCAGTGCAATTTCTGCTCTGAAGTTGTCAATGACCTCAACACCCTTCAGGAACACATCCGATGTTCTCATGGATTTGCGAACCCTGCCGCTAAGGATAGCAATGCGTTCTTTTGTCCCCATTGCTACATGGGGTTTCTCACTGACTCTTCCCTGGAAGAGCATATAAGACAGGTCCATTGTGACCTCAGTGGCTCCCGATTTGGGTCTCCGGTGCTTGGGACTCCGAAGGAACCGGTAGTAGAAGTCTATTCTTGTTCTTATTGTACAAATTCGCCAATATTCAACAGTGTTCTTAAGCTGAACAAGCATATCAAAGAGAATCATAAAAACATTCCCTTGGCCCTGAATTATATTCACAATGGGAAGAAATCCAGGGCCTTGAGCCCCTTATCTCCCGTGGCCATAGAGCAGACATCTCTTAAGATGATGCAGGCGGTGGGTGGGGCACCTGCGCGTCCAGCTGGAGAATATATCTGTAATCAGTGTGGTGCTAAGTACACTTCCCTGGACAGCTTTCAGACTCACCTAAAAACTCATCTCGACACTGTGCTCCCCAAGCTGACCTGCCCTCAGTGCAACAAGGAATTCCCCAACCAAGAATCCTTGCTGAAGCATGTTACCATTCATTTCATGATCACCTCAACCTACTACATCTGCGAGAGTTGTGATAAGCAGTTCACGTCAGTGGACGACCTTCAGAAACACCTGCTGGACATGCACACCTTTGTCTTCTTCCGGTGCACACTCTGCCAAGAGGTTTTTGACTCGAAAGTTTCCATTCAACTCCACCTGGCTGTGAAACACAGTAACGAGAAGAAAGTCTACAGGTGCACGTCTTGCAACTGGGACTTCCGCAACGAGACTGACTTGCAGCTCCACGTGAAGCACAACCACCTGGAAAATCAAGGCAAAGTGCACAAGTGCATTTTCTGCGGCGAGTCTTTTGGCACCGAGGTGGAGCTCCAGTGCCACATCACCACTCACAGTAAGAAGTACAATTGCAAATTCTGCAGCAAAGCCTTCCACGCAATCATTCTGCTGGAGAAACACTTGCGGGAAAAGCACTGTGTGTTTGAAACCAAGACTCCCAACTGTGGCACGAACGGGGCTTCTGAGCAAGTGCAGAAGGAGGAGGTGGAGCTGCAGACCTTGCTGACCAACAGCCAGGAGTCCCACAACAGTCATGACGGGAGCGAAGAAGATGTGGACACCTCGGAGCCGATGTACGGGTGTGACATCTGTGGGGCAGCCTACACCATGGAGACCCTGCTGCAGAACCACCAGCTCCGAGACCACAACATCAGACCCGGGGAGAGCGCCATCGTGAAGAAGAAAGCCGAGCTCATTAAAGGGAATTACAAGTGCAACGTGTGCTCTCGAACCTTCTTCTCTGAAAACGGCCTCCGCGAGCATATGCAGACCCACCTAGGCCCTGTCAAACACTACATGTGCCCCATTTGTGGAGAGCGGTTTCCCTCCCTTTTAACTCTTACCGAACACAAAGTCACTCATAGTAAGAGCCTTGATACCGGGAACTGCCGGATTTGCAAGATGCCTCTCCAGAGCGAAGAGGAGTTTTTAGAGCATTGCCAAATGCACCCGGACTTGCGGAATTCCCTGACAGGATTCCGCTGCGTGGTCTGCATGCAGACCGTGACCTCCACCTTAGAACTCAAAATCCACGGGACATTCCACATGCAAAAGACAGGGAATGGGTCCGCCGTCCAGACCACAGGGCGTGGCCCGCATGTCCAAAAACTGTACAAGTGTGCGTCTTGCCTCAAAGAGTTTCGTTCCAAGCAGGATCTGGTGAAACTTGACATCAATGGCCTGCCATACGGTCTGTGCGCCGGCTGTGTGAATCTTAGTAAGAGCGGCAGCCCAGGCATCACCATCCCTCCCGGCACGAATAGGCCGGGCTTGGGCCAGAATGAGAATCTCAGTGCCATCGAGGGTAAAGGCAAGGCGGGGGGACTGAAGACTCGCTGTTCTAGCTGCAACGTCAAGTTTGAGTCTGAAAGCGAACTCCAGAACCACATCCAAACGGTCCATCGAGAGCTCATGACGGATAGTAACAGCACGCAGCTGAAAACTCCACAAGTGTCGCCAATGCCCAGAATCAGTCCCTCCCAGTCGGATGAGGTAACTTGCCTTTTTACTATTTGCTCTTTAACCTCCTCAAGAAGCCCTTGCCGCTCGATGTGTCCACTTTCTGCAGCTTTATTTATTGTCATGTGCCGAGAGATGCTTAGATTGAAATGCAGTGGGTTTTTTTTTCCCCCCATAGCCATTAGCCGGCAATTACTTGCTTCTTGATAAGCAGCATTTTGGCTTGAATGGTGCAAAATAGGACTAATTCCAGTCTCCCTAGGATATTGTCTTCTCTATGACTGAAGAGATCAGCACTCATGCCAGCACCACTGAGATCTGGAATCTCAGCGTAGCGTCACCGCGAGTTGAAATCCCCAGCTATGACTTGTGTGTATGGCAGAGAGATAATGACATAAAAGTAGGATGCTATGGGCCAACATGCTGGCTTGGAGTAAATTAAAAAGAATATATATATTTGTGGATAACAAATTGGGTAGGGGTGGCTTTATAATACCATGTTGTCAACACTCACTGTTTCTCTTTGTCTTCTGGGTGGTGAGCAAAATATTTTGCACAACAGGATTTTTTAAAAGCTCCTACATTTATCAAGCGCCACATGCCCAATGTTCCATTTCAAGGCATCCCCTTAAATATCCCCGAGTCTTCACTCCTAGGGTTTGGGTTTCAAAATTAAAGTGTTTTTTTTTTTTTCTTAGTTTAAGAGTGGTTTCATGCCTTCTTTGCCATAATGAGTATGAAAAGTAAGTTCATTTACAACGAAATAGTTTTATGTCACCAGTCCTTGAAGCTGAGCAGAAGATGGCTCATTTTATTATAATTTCTTTATGCTTTATCACCCGGTTTCTAAGAGTTCTTTCCACTTCCCTACCTGCCCCTATTTGGAGGTCCATCCAAATGAAAACCCCAGGGAGATCCATCTCCCTTCAGTTTGGGGTCACTGCATTTTCCTTATCTTGTCTCAGCACTCATACCCTCTTGGAGGCCCCCCTGCATGTCTCCGCAGATAGCCATCAGTCAGCTGGTAGGGGAGAGCTGGGAAGACTGACACAGAGCCCATACTCCTGAAATGTGGCATCTGCGTGACAGGCAAGCTCCCAAACTTTGAAGCTGCTTTCCTTTTTCTCCTTCCAAGTAAATCTGCACCTTTCTCGCATTTAAATAAATGAAGTCCTTTCAAACTGATGAAGACAGCTGGAAGAGCATAGTTTTGGTAATGGCTGCTGGCTCATGTGTTGGATCAAGTAGTTTCTTTTGGTAGTTCTAATCAGATGAAATGAATAATTTTTTCCAACTTTTTGTTTCAAACATGCTTAAACCTATAGACAAGCTGAAGGAATAACACAGTGAACGTGTGTGTTTTGTGTATCCATATCACAGATTTACCGGATATGAACATTTTGTCATATTTTTCTCTCTCTGCAACCTTTTTATTAACCTGAACCACATGAGAGTAAGTTTCAGACATCATGATTTTCCTAAGAAGAAGGACATTTTCCCATTTAACCATAATATTATTAGTTAAGGCAATTAACGAAATCAGTTAAAGAAATTAAATAGATCTATAATGTCTTCTATAAGATGTCCATATTCATGGACATTTGCCCAATTGTCCCCCAAATGTCTTATTTTTAAAATGCTTATGGACAAGAATTTTAGAAAAACATTTATGCAGAAAATTACTTCTCTCCCCCCCTTTTTTATTTTGCTATGCTTAACATATAGAGAGGAGTTTGTATATTCATGTTTAATTTAAATGGTGCATAAAATTGTTTTGAAATGACTGCATTCGTGTGTGTGTGTGTGTGCGTGTGTGTATGTGATTGTGGTGGTGTGTTCGCTTAAAATCAAGCAAAATTGGGCTCTTGTTTCTTAGTAGATTGTGGAAAGGCATGTGCCTGTTTCTTCTTCTCTGTTCCTGGCTTATGTTTTCTGATGTTCCTAAATTGCTATATATTATTACACCACTTGAGGTGAGATTTATTTTTTAAATGAAGGAGGACATATGGATAGTCTTTACATGTTAATTTGGTTAGAGTTACTTGCTTAGAGAACTTATCATTAAGGGGTGGTCAAGTTTTTAATACTAATACCTAAAATCTTCATGATGAAGTCTAACTATATCCTGCACTTAAATAGAATAATGCAAAAGATATTTTTAAAAGTACTTCTTAATTGTAATTCTTTTTTTAAGATTTTATTTATTTATTTATTTATTTATTTGGGTGAGGTGGGGCAGAGGGAGAGAATCTCAAGCAGACTCTGCGCTGAGCCTGGAGCCTGACACTGGGCTCGATCCCACAGCCCTGAGATCATGACCTGAGCCAAAATCAAGAGTCAGACCGACTAAGCCATCCAGACACCCTTAATTGTAATTTTTACAATAGTGTTTTTTAAACGCCTAGATACCAAGGCTTAAAAGTGACTCTTTACACAGAAGGGTACCTCCTTATTAAGGCTGATTAATAGGAGCTTGTAGCACTGTCCTTAACTGACCAGATATTAGGATTCAGTTGTACATATTTCCTTTGTGCTTCAAAAGTTCACTAATTTGTTTAACATTTTCATCATTGTTATTATTTTTTCTTCATTACAATATTTAAATCATAAAATTTCATGTGCTCACTTCCTTTCTGATAGTCTCCGCACTTAAAAATGTACAATGGGCCATATCATTTGGACTTGACATAGAAAATTATCTAAACATACGTGGAATTTTGCAAAAAGGAGCCCCAAAATAATGCATTAGCAAGAAAAAGACATAGAGTAAAAATTAATTTGTTTACTTTCTCTGTTAGTCAAGTTAAGCTTCTGTGACTTCTCCTGTGTATTGTGTAAATTTTTTACCACGTAGGTAAAAGAGAAGTTATTATGTAAGCCTTTGCCGAAAGACAGGTATGCTGTGTGGGAATGAATTTTATCACAAAAAGAAGTACAGCATGTATGTCTCCTGACTTCGAAGTCCCAGGCAGGAATGAAGGACTTAGCACTGTGGGTGGTATTTTCATCTCTTCTTCTTGCTGCGGATTGAGACTTCAGAAGAGAAAAGAAGACCATAGGACATAATAAAACCCGGATACACAGATATTGTCAAGAACAAGATTAGATTTTTTTCTGGACTTGACTTGTGATCACATAAGGGTATTGGTAGACACTGGAATGAGTATTTCAAAGACTGAAAAGAATGCTTTTTGGCCGAGACTAGATTACCTATTTAAAAGGGATTTAGATATAATCTAGGGAAGGATAAGTACTGGATAAACGCATGCGATCCAAGAAATGGATGAAAGACAAGGCACGTGACACTTACGGAAAGATAATAGTAGGTAGCTGTCATGTAATGGAGAAATTTGGAATTGAAGACAAAAGATCTGAATGTGAACCCCCCTTTTCTTCTGCATAATGCTTTCTGAATTTGTGAACATGTTTTCTTTGTGCCACAATCCTTTAATTATCAATCTAAATTTGCTATGGAGTCTTTGTTTTGAATAAAATATTTGGGGGAACCTATTCATTTCCCTTTGGCTCTCAGAGATCAAGTATGATATACATTTATGCCTACCCTCCGATACCTACAATGATTCCATAAATGGTGGAGATAAACTAACACAAGAATGCTGGCTATCTAGATTTTTTCCCTACACGAAACACCTCGCAGAGTTACTGACATTTACTGTGTGTTGAATAAATGTTAGTTCTTCTTCTGGGGTTCATTGACACTGGCCCAGCCTGGTCAGGTTCTGCCCCATTTGGACCTTAACATGTTTTCTTACGATGACATTAGAAGCATGTGTCCTTCTGCTTCCATTTCTCCAGGATGTCTAATAGGCGGGTTTCTTCAAGGGGTTATTTATTCACATTTCAGCTCACACCATCCCCGCCAGTCCATTGAAATTGCTCTTGCAGGGGTTTCCAATTGTGTCCGTGTTGCTGGATGCTCGCACAGTGCCACAGAATCAGAACCAGAAGGGACTCTGGAGACCATCTGATTAAGCTGCCTCATTTTACAGGCGGCAAAACAGGCCCAGATAAATTGAGTTCTAAGATGACACAGCTAGTAACTGGTAGACAAGGAGCTCTGAGAATCCGGCTCTCTAACTCCAGGTTCAAGATTCTCTTTTCATAAATCCACTGGACTTTCCTCTAGCTGCTGTCTCATCCGTATTCTTTTCATAAAATCCTCTCTGTATTGCTGTCTTACTTTCTGTTGTCATTCCCTTCTTCGACCCACTGCAAGGGATCATCTGCTTCCATCACTTTACTGCAGCTGACTTTTTAAAGGTCTCTGTTGATCTAATTGACCAATGCAATGCTTTTTTTTCCCCCCTTAAAGAGAACTTATCCTAGTTTACGTATTATTCTACTTCTCACTATTGGCTATTTCTTCTTTATCAAACCTCTGCTTTCCCTCCTGGTTCCCCTCATAGAGTGAACTGTAGCCTACTTCCTCTGTCTGCTCCTACAAGTTTGTGCCCTGTTGCAACTCTCATTCTGCATACCCCCTCCATGTGGCCTCATCCACTCCTGTGGCTCTGGCTACCACATTTTATGGATGACTCTCCAAATGCTATCTCCCAAATGCAGGAGGGAACTTACAGGGGCTGATGGAAATATTCCCTATCTTGATTGTGGTAGTGGTTACATGACTGTATGCATTTGTTAATACTCACCAGATGTAAACTTAGTGAATTTTCATATGTGAATTACCTCTCAATGAAACTGATTTTAAAAAGGGTATCTATGACTTCCACCTTTCCACTGATATTCAGACCCATGCACACAGTTGCCTGCTGGAGATATTCACTCACGTGTTTCCATACACTTGCAACTCAGTGGGACCAAAACTGAACTCATCATCCTTTTCTCTGAACCTGCTTCTTTTCTTATATTTTCTATTTCACTGTGGAGCCACTGATTTTCTTATCTCCCTTTTCTCCACATCCAGTTAGTCATCAAGTGATCTCTGTTTCAGCTCATATATATTTCTTAAATCAATCCCCTCCTCTCCATCCCCTTCCCACATTTGTAATTCA